GGCTGATAGTCTTTCATACGTTCCTCGTAGCCCTTCAACCGTTTTGAACGCATGATCTCCCGCAACTTTCGTCTATGCATCTTCCACTGACGACGGTTCATGGTTGTCGCGGCTGCGTTGTCAGCTGATGGCTGGTAGGTAACAGTATCTAACACGAGTTTCGCCTCGCCCGTCTTGTCGTCAGTAACCTGTTGAAAATGGAACAGACTGGTTGGCCTATGGAATTCAAAAAATTAGATAGGCTCGCTAAAATACGCCTTCATGGTAATGAGAGCATTCACAAAAGTCAGTGATATCTAGGTCTTCCACTGATGCATTGTATCACAACGAAGAGTGGGTCCTATATATAATATCAAGACGCTTTTAGTGTCGGTAGCGGGGACGGTGACAATTGTGGTGTCGGAAGTCAGTAATAGCATTTGAGTTGGAACTCCTAATCAATCAATCAGTGTACATGGAGTAAATAACAGAAGCTTTTGAGAAGTTAACTTAAACGGCACAGGTCTGCTTGACGGACAGGTCAGTAGAAAATATTTTACAGGTACGCTTAGTATGCGAGATGCATAGGATTGGTAGGGAAAAAAAGAATGGCAAAAAAGTGCAGCACAACACCTTCACTGCATTCCCACGGTTATTGTTCAGTATAATGCCAAAGTTCGCGTAAATAAAATGCTTACTGAAATTGTGTTAGTAACAGATTTATAGTTGCAAGTGCCCACCAAGTGGTGTTTGAGTAGCTCTGGCTGACATGTGATTATCCAGACGCCTTTTAAATTCACTCGTGGTTAGGGAATGCACGACATACATCGGTAAAGAAGTCCACTAACAAATGACTGCGAAAAAAGGATGAGCGTTGTTTGGCGTTAAGTTGGTAATCGTGTCCTCTGAGATACATCTTTAGTACCAATTCGGAAGGATTTTCCCAAGCCCACTTACCAACTGCAACGTTATAAATTCACCCCTGTTCTGTCTATATTGGAGGGGGTAGAGGTTTGAAGTGGTCGCTCACCGCTGGTATGTCAAATATTTGAGTTCAGAACGACCTTCAAGAATATTTAGGTTTTTATGAAGCCACGGTCGTCAAACTTCTGCCGCATATTCCAAGTGGGGCCGCACGAATGTTTCATATGCCTTACCGAAGATAAGAGTGCTCATGTTATAAAAATCTTTGCACACCGTACTCACGGTTGACAATGTCTGCGACGGCGGATCCCAATGCTGTTACGCTTAAGTCAATTTGAACGAATACTCCAAGGCATTTTGAAAGGTGTCCGGTTTAATGATTCGATTGTCAAGGAAAGATTGTCGTGAGAGGGCATTTCTTCCTTGTCTGGCTGACACTATGTGCATTACTACACACCTGCTAAAAAAGAAAGAATTTGGTCCCGGAGACTTCTGGCTTCTTCACTGAACGCGTGTTAAAATGCAAAATGGC